ATTCTTTATCCATTCATCTGTTGATGGACACTTGGGTTGCTTCCACACCTTGGCAATTGTAAATAATGCTGCTATGAACACTGGGGTGCATAAGTCTTTCAATTAGTGTTTTTAGTTTTTTTAAAATATATATCCAGGAGTGGAATTGCTGGATCATATGGTAGTTCAATTTTTAGTTTTTTGAGAAACCTCCACTATTTTCCATAGTGGCTGCACCAATTTACATTCCCACTAGCAGTGCACGAGGGTTCCCTTTTCTCCACATCCCCACCAACATCTGTTACTTGTGTTCTTTTTGATGATAGCCATTCTGAGAGGTGTGAGGTGATATCTCATTGTGGTTTTGATTTGTACTTCCCTAATGATTAGCATCACTTCATGTGTCTGTTGGCCATCTGTATTCCCTCCTTGGAAAAATGTCTATTCAGTTCTTCTGTCCATTTTTTAATCAGATTATTCGCTTTTTGATGCGATGAGCTATTTATATATGTTGGATATCACTCCCTTATCAGTCATATCATTTGCAAATATTTTCTTCCATTCAATAGGTTGTCTTTTCATTTTGTTGATGGTTTCCTCTGTTGTACAAAACCTTATAAGTTTAATTAGGTCCCATTTATTTATATTTGCTTTTATTTCCTTTGCTTTAGGAGATGGATACAAAAAAATATTGCTCTGATTTATGTCAAAGAGTGTTCTGCCTATGTTTTCCTTTATTAAAGTATCGGGTCTTACATTTAAGCCTTTAATCCACTTTGAGTTTATTTTTGTATATGGTGTTAGAGGATGTTCTAATTTCATTCTTTTACATGTAGCTCTCCAGTTTTCCCAGCACCACTTATTGAAGTGATGAATGCTAGTTTTAACAATTTTGACTCCTTCTCCAACAAAAAGAAACCATCCTTCCCCACTGTATTCCCCCAAGCCTTTCTGTGGTGGATCTTCAAGGATGTTATGCCATTTTTCACTTGAGGGCTTACATTTTATGATTAAATTAGGCACTCAAACTTCAAATGTTTTATTTTGACAGCAGTAAAACATCCACAGCTCTCTGTCTGTAAAGTCTGGCAAAACAGTATGTTACATTGTTAAGGGGATTCTTAATCTCAACATTCATAATAAGATAACAGAAACAAACATTCCAATACACTACATTTGAGGGTTTAAACTGAGGTTTAGAGTTGGTTTGTTCAGCTTAATCCTATCAAATGATAAAACACTTTAAAACCTAATGGCAATGATTTATAACAAAAAAGGGCTGTTTCTTGTGGAAGTAACTTGGCTTATCTGGAAACTGGTATTTCACATATGTACAGATTATAAATATGCCAAGCCCTAAATATTTCCTGTGGTGCAATGAGGAGCCAGAAGAGGCAGGGGGTGAAATAGGGCACGCAGAGAAGACTGACTCTAGAAATCCATTTACTTCATGATTTTGAAGGGTTTAAGAAATCCCTTTTAAAATTCTGATGTAGCACAGAACTGAAATATATGATACTTTCTATGTGATCTGAGAAATAGAAATTTTTTGTACAAATGTGATTTGAAGGCTTAAGCACAACGGCTGAAAACATATTTGAATTGTACCTCAATAGTTCCTTTTACAATTTTTTCAAGTGTTATCACTTATGTTCTTCACTTGACCTTTTCAATTACCATATAAAGTAATTTAAAGAAAAGGCTCAGGAAAATCTTCAAACTGAGGAGTAACTTGCTGCTGTAACTGTCCAAGGTAACGTGGCAGGCAGTACTCCAAAGAGCGGGACTTTAGGGCTTCATCTATTAAACATTAGCAATAACGCTGCAAATCTTATGCTCAGTCATCTTTCTCTGTCTCTGTCTCTCTCTCATACACACACACACACACACACACACACACATACACTTCTTTGTCTCTCTCACACACACGTACACCCAAGCACACAGAATTAGAATGACAAAGCAATTTTTCTAACATGTATGCTGTTTTCAAGAGGTATAAACTATATAAATTAAGTTAGGTAAATCTAGCATTGTCGCTCACTTTAGCTTGGGACTAATTATCACAGGATTCCAAAAAGTGTCATAAACTTTCTTTTCTAGAGGATGGATATTTTTAACAATTGCCTGGGAGAAGCTCTCCCAGTTTGAAACTGTTTTGGAAACTGCCTAATACCAATCGGGTAGCTCTTTTGCTTTCTAATCATACATGGTACACAAATAAAGCCATCAAAGAGCTAGAAATAAACCTAAAGTTTTTAGAGAAACTACCGAGAAAGACTGAAGAACTAAGGTGCAAGGGAACAAGACAAGTAACGTCCTTCATATTAGTAGTTGTGTTATTGGGCAAGAAAAGCAACTTTTTTAAACCATTATTATTAGACACTAAGCTTTTCACTCTAAGAGAAAAAGATACAAACATAAAACAAAAGAAAGTAATGTTAAATCTGAATTGGAACTATCCATATGAACTCATAATATATATCTATTTATTGCTTTTGGCTCTGTCCACTGAAGCAATGACATCCAAGCAGTAATAAATTTACCAGATCTTGGTTTCTAATACCATTCCCCACTAAAAGAACCACAGCTCCTTCAAGTAATTAATTCTAGGTCTGGGGCAGGAAAAAAGTACAAGTGAACTTGGGACATCCTGTTGTAACAGAAAGACTAATGAGGCCATGCCACAAAGGACTTGAAGGGCTCCCAACAGCAAAATTTTAGACAAGTTGGACATCAAAAAGAATACAATCATGATACATTATAATACACTGAACTAAAAGGAAACCCATAAGACCACAGTGATCTCAAAAAGAGAAAAAAAGAAGAGAGGGAAAAGAAAAGCTCTTCTTTACATAAGAATGCCAGCTAACAAATGTAGAAGAAATAATAATATTAAAATTTCATCATTTTGTAATCCTTAATGTAATTACTGATTTAGGCAACAGACATCAATACTAAAACCACTCAGTAAAAAGCAGTTGGGAATAGTTCACCATCTTAAAGCATCACCCCACAGATTACTACTAATTTCAATGAAGAAAATAACCTCTATAACAGAGAAATTTGGCAATCACCACTTTAATCAAGGAATTAAAGTTATCAGCAGTAATGGAACAACTTACATTATATCCTCCTGATCTGATATATACAACCTGAGCTATGAATACAGTAACCATGTAATTAATCAACCAAACAGCTTCATTTCCAAGAGTGAAAGGGGATGCTATTCATAATTATATCAAAACAATAGATATAAACTGGAATTGTCATGGACAACCCTGTATTTATCCTTATCTGAAGTATCCTTGCAAAAATATTTAAACTGAATCTAATATTGAAACATTCAGACAATTGACCTATCCTCTTCACACAAGTCTAAGTCATGAAAAAAAACAGGGGACTGTTCTACATTAAAAGAGACTAAAGAGACATAATAACCAAATGCAATTTGAATTTACATGCTGCATCAGAGGAAAAGAGCTACAACAGATATTTTGGGGTTAATTAAGGAAATATGAATATGAACTGCATATTAGATATCACAGAACTTTTGTTAATTTTCTTAGAGTGATAACGGTATAGTGATTATGCAATTATTCTTAAAAGTTGTACACTTAGGTATTTAAGGGTGATGTATTGCAAAGCCTGCAACTTACTTTCAAATGGTTCAACCAAACACATATATGATACCTAAGTACACAAACATACATATAATAGAGGAGGAAAACTAAAGCAAATGTGGCAAAATGTATGTGTATTCAATGCAACTCTTCTTGCAATACATCTGTAGGTCTGAAGTTCTTTGAAATGAAAGTTGGGGAACGGAACAATCAAAAACATGCAACATTGGGCTTCCCTGGTGGCGCAGTGGTTGAGAGTCCGCCTGCCGATGCAGGGGACATGGGTTCGTGCCCCGGTCTGGGAAGATCCCACATGCCGCGGAGCAGCTGGGCCTGTGAGCCATGGCCGCTGAGCCTGCATGTCCGGAGCCTGTGCTCCGCAACGGGAGAGGCCACAACAGTGAGAGGCCCGCGTACCGCAAAACAAAAACAAAAACAAAAAACATGCAACATTTTTTTCTTACCTTGTAGTCTCTCATCAGTGAATATTTTGTTTGTTTGGTTCCAGGTGCTATCTATGAATACAATTTTTTTCAGTGTTGTGTCTTTGCACTTGCTGTCATTCAAATCCTGTTCTTCAGTTTTCTTGCGTTTAATGAATGGCTTGTCAAGGTCATCATTTTTGCCTCCAACATTATTTTGAATCTTTTCTTGGAGACGAAAAGAAATTTCTTTTACTGAAACAGAGTTAGGTCCAGGAAAAACAAGTGCAACCTAAAGCAAAGAAGCTTAAGTTAGCAGTGTGCTATTATGATCTTCAAAATTAATAAATTCTGACTTAAAACTTTAAGAGGAAAAAATATGTTGAGTATCTGAGAAACAAGCATTAGGTTCTATTATATGTGCCTCTTTAATATATATGGTAAAGTTTTTGGCTCTTCCCTAGTAATTTATAATCATAATACACTACCTAGAATTATTTTTGTACTTCAAAATAAGTTATTCACCTATTGAGAGAAGCTCAGTTAATTGTACCTTAATTCAAAAAACTAAACTCTATAATATTTCATAAGATAAAAGGCAAAGTATGGGGTACTTTGTAAAAGAACCATTGAAAAGTGCTCAATAATTAAATACCATTTTCACAACAAATGATACAGCCAATGCTGGTAAGGAAATGGTGTAATAGGCCTTTACAGCCATTACTGACATCAGGTTTAAACAGTATAACTCTTTCTGAAAGCAATTTGGCAATTTAAGTCAAGAGTCTTGAAATGTTCATACCCTTTGGTCAAATAATTTCACATATGGGAATTTATCTTAATAAAATAATTCTAAACACACACATACTCACAATACCCAGAATATTTGTTAAAGTGTATTTATTACAGTGAAAAACTAAAACTAAAGAAATCTAACTTTCAAGGAATAATTCAGTAAATTATGGCACCTCCTTTCTTTCAGCATGTTTTTACCGAGATCTTATATACTGTACTGTAAAAGTATAAAAACTCCTGCCACAAAGCAGGCACCCAGTAAATATCTGTTAAATGAACAAATGTTGATAGAATCACAGATGTTATCCTCCATACGTTTCTCTATTTCCCAAGTTTTCTTGAATGAAAATATATCATTTTTAATATGAAAAAATAAATATTAAAATAAACTTTAAAATCTTGAATTTATAAACTTCGACATTATAAAAGTTTTTCAGACATTCACGATGCATGCCTACATATCCCCCATACCCAATAAGCAAAGTCCAGGGCTTTTTAGTTTTCCTGGACTATAAGCATGTCACATCTTTTTATATTACCTAGCACTGTGTTCTATTTAATTGACATAGACGAAAACCTAGCTGACCAGAGAAGGAAATACAAATATATTCCTAGATCCGAAACTCATATATTATTTACAAACACAACTTTCTATAAACTCAACCAAAAAGTATAAATATATTGATAGGAAAGGAAAAACTTACCAAGTTCTTCCTTGAACAAATGAATGTATTTTTAATTTTGCTTCTAAATTAACCATACCAACAAATGTTCCCCCAAGAGACCTAAAAGGGTTTATGTGCTTCTTTCAGAAGTATTCAAGCCCTAGTTTTTTGAGATCTATTGCAACATCACTTTTCAACAAGACCAGCTGTCACTAATGTGACCATTTCAACTATGTGAAAACCAATTAAGAATCTAGAAATGAGTAAGGAAGGCCTCTGAGTAGCCAAAAGAAATATTACAAAGGCCATGTACTAATGCTCTTAATTTAGAGAGAATTTCTAAAAATCCTTCTACCTTAGTCTGTCTCTTCTTCTTCTTCTGGAGAAATTCCAACAACATTTGTAATCTGGTTTCTCAGTTTGTATCAAATTAGACTATCTATGTGTAGTATAGGCAGGAGAATGGAGACGGGAGAAAAGTAAAAGCAGGTCTAGTAGTACTGGCAAAGAGTAAAAACCTGAAGAAATAATGCAAACAATAAAAAGTAGAAAGACAGACTCAACAAAGCTCAACACCTAGGATCATTTGATCTTTGAAGACAATGATGAAGTAAACTGTGCATTGTTTAGTGCAATATAAGATTTAACCCTAGATCACTAAACAAAATATTAAATTATGTTCAAGTAAGTTCAGAAAGGCAATGGGGTTTAAAATTCATTTTTTGATTCAACGTGAAAAGTTGTAAAAAAAAAATAAGCTGCCTACTTCATGGTCCTTTTCTTCATATTCTGGAATACAAGGATATGTATAAATATTCACAAATTCAGGTGCTAAGAGTTTTGCATGTATAGCAGTGCTTTTGCCGTCTGTTTCATTTGGATGTTTAATGATGTCAATCTTCAATGGAAGCTAAAATTTAAGGAAAAAAGACAAATGAACAAAACAAATATAAAAATTCTAATTTTTACATTAACAAAAATGGTCTTTAAAGCTTAAATAGCAAGTTCACACTAAGATCCTATAAATACACTTATGGATTGAAAAGTCATACTTTTCTAGAACAAATACTAAGAATGGTAACAGTCATAGAAGAAACACAAATTTATTCCTCAATATTGTTAATCATGTACTAGAACAACTATTTTCAACTCATTTAACATAGAATCTTCTCTTATAGCAATGTTCCAATGTCACTTTCACTTAAATCACACTGGCACTGAGTCATATTCTTTGCATTTCAATACCTGTGCCAAGAACATTTTTTATAATTCCTATAAACTTTTAGGTCTATTAATTTTACAATATATTAAAAGGAAACATAAGTTTGGGCAAAAGCTTTAGATCTAAAACTCAAGCTAAAATTTTGTTCCTTAAACATCTTCTGAGGTCGAAGGTATTATCTTTTATTTTAACATCATGATTCTCAGCATAATTAACAGCACAAGTGAAATTAATTATTAACTGGAAAAAAACAGTAACAGAATGGTTCTAGGAGGTACACTCTTTATATAAGAAATAACTCTCTTCAAAATCATTTTGCCTATTTTCCTTAAGGTTTCATTATTTAATTACTATGAACTATGTCCTGTCTCTACGCAAAAATAATATTATCTGCAAATTTCTTGAGTTAGATTTTTCTATTATTTCACTGACTTGTTTGGTTTAGTTTTCTGTATCATGCTTGTACAAGTCCTGCATTCAGCCATGATTATGAAAATAAAAGACAAGTCATATCTCCCCCATTATATATATGAAACTCTTTGAGATGGATTCTTCACTGTAGAGTTCAAATGACTTGTTAAGATAAGCACTCTTACAGCTCCCATCCCACACTAAAAGGCAAGAATCTAGGCATTTACCCTGGGGCACATAGCTATTTTACCCTGGTTACAAAATAGTTACAAAACTATTTTTCTTGTTTTTTAAAACAGCTTTATTAAAGAGATAAAATTGATACAATAAATATAAAGTGTACAATCTAATGAGTTTTAACATGTTACACCTTTGCACTCATCACCACAATGAAGATAATGAACAAATCCATCACCCCCAAAAGTCTTCCTGTGCCTCCCTCCTTCCCCTTTTCCCCATCAACTACCACCCACAGTCCTTAGACAACCATTGATCTGCTACCACTATAGGTTAGTCTGTATTTTCTAGAATTTTGTATAAATGAAATCATAAAATATGTACTCTTTTCATCTGATTTCTTTCACTTAGAATAATTATTGTGAGATTCACCCATGCTGTGTGTATCATTAACTTCAGAACTGTTTTTTAAAGGGGCAGTTGCTGTATGCTACTAGATGATCCCAACCGTACATAGTTTATCTTTCAGGATAATTATATGGAAGGAGGACAGTATATACCCTAGAAGGGTCATAAATATCCCAAATAGTTTTCAATCTAGGGTTTCAAACCCCATGCCTCCTACCCTCCCACTCAGGCCTAGTGATCATCTATAAGTTGGAGCCAATTGCTTCAAATCATCAAACCAACTTCTAGTTATAGAATATTTGCCATTTAAGTAGGCAGTTCACAAACGATTTTACATCAGTCTACCTCTGGCTGAACTCTATATCACTTTCCTCATGATGCTCAGTCCCAGCTGATACTACATTCCCTTTCCCCAGGGTCTCTCAGTACCAGCTCAGCATTATCTTATCCCAAGAATTATTATCCTCAGGCTCTCAGTTGTTCTGAGGTAACTTTGAAGCTGACTGGATTCCATTCTTACTTATTCTTGGCCAGTAAACCTTCCAATAGCCTATAAGAGTGATCTGAGACCCCTAAGCAGACCATGGACTTGCCAAGGTGACATGTAGGCTAAACTACAATTCAAGTAACAAAATATGAGTGTTAAAGTATTTTTCTTACTTGAAAATTTAAATGAACCTTAAAATCACCACATTAAATATCTTTAAATATAGTTACAACTTTCTTACTGGCAAGTTCTAATGAGTCCATGTGTAGATTTGGTCTCTTTAAAGTTCTAACAGGCAGCAGTCAAATTTCATACACTATTTCATTTACTCCTAAAGTTCAGGTCACTGTTAGGGAAGTTAACATACACATAATAAATTTTTTGATTACATAGACATGATGGTCTACAGACCTTTTATCTACTCAAAAATAGTCTTGGTAAGCAACAAGCATAAGGTAAGCAATCAATTCAATTTTTTAAATCTGGCTTTAAATCACAACAATTATAACACAGCCCAATGAGTAGGTCTTAGTCTTTCAATTTTAGTTTTATTTAATTTTGGTCACTGACATGTGCTCCATCTCCATGTACAGGATGGGGCTAAACTCATGATTTTGCTTAAGCAAAAATCAACCCTAGTTCCTTCAGGATATGTTTTCTCAAAGGGCAGTCCAAGGCCCTTGAGGTAGTTTTTGAGGCTCCTTCATGTAGTCTGTAAACTTGTCTCTTGTAGTATTCAAGTTTATACCCTGTTTTTTTTCTATGTAATAAATGAATTATAATCATTAATTTAAAAAAGTAACTGATTTCATTAAAAACAAGAGCATTCATCTCAGATGCAAGTGTTTTGGCAATGTGTGCCTCTTTTTCTAGAGATGAGGAAAAAAAATATAGGTTTACCAATCTACAGGATTAAACTTTCTATTAATACAATTCATTTTCATAATAATATCATTTATCAAGCTTATCAGTTATGTTAGAGTAGGTATATATGAGACATGTTTTTAAAATCTATTTTCCTACTTCCAAACAATTAAAGTTCTCACCAACCTTTACACGTGGTATCTGTTCAATAGGTACATTCTCAACTGGGACGTAACATGTATAGCAGTAGAACATTCTTGAACCACCACACTTGAGACATTTTGATCTTCCACTTTGCTGAGCTTTTTGAAGAACTTCTTGAGATGCTAAGCATAAGTTTTGAAGAGGATATTCCGTAGCTATGGATGTAGTTTGTGACTGTTGTATTTCCACAAATTTTGAATTATCTTCTTCCCTTTCTTTGAGAAATATAGGTGTATTGAGAGACATTTTTCATTCAAACCAAAGTTTAACTTTTATTTCTAAAACACATATCATAGATGCACTGAAAAAAAAAGTGGGGGGCAAAATAAAAAACAGAAAACATTTTACTCACTGTTTCTACCAAAAAAAATTACTCAATTTAATTCACAACTGTGTGCTGTTTTTAGTATTTATTAACAAACGTTAATAAGTTTTTTAAACCACTAAATTAGCATGCTTTAAAATACAAAATTAAAAAAACAATATATTCAAAACAATAAATTACCCTTTTAAGCTATTCCCTCCATAAAAATAAGAAGGCTCTTGCCTCGAAAAACTATTTCAAATATAAAGTTTAGGTATGAACGATCTATTTTTCAGTGACTATTTTTGTCCCAGAAACAGTAATTTTGTTTAATATTAGGAATGTAATGTTTTAATGTTAGTATCAGCCAGGAGAGTATTCAACCCTCTCCTGTAAGCTCTGACTTTCAATTAATATTACGTGATATCAGATCTCAGTCTGAACGCTAATGAAAATCCAAGGTTCCAGTGAAATCAGTAAAATTTAGTTGGTTATGTTCTAAAAGATGTAGTCTTCTCCAACATAAATTAAAACACATAAAAATATAACTAAACATCCATTAAAATGAGGCATTCATTACCAATTATAACTTGTAAAATATCCCCAAAGGTGAAATACATGACTATATATAAAGATATATGCATATATATAAAGATTAAAGTGTAATCTTATACATGTTAAAATTTTACAGAGTAACATCAATGTTCACCCACTCTAAGAATTCACACTGCTTTTCAAAAATATATACCATTCAGATTCTTCAGTTCTAGAGGTAAAATAGTAATTTTCTCACTTAAATATTTCCTTCAAAGAAGGATGATGGCTGCCAAAACTGTTATTCAAATATTTTGTAAGCACAATATACTTCGAGGGAGAAAAGAGACTGGGGCCCATTTGATTTGATATGCATTCCAAAGCTGTAAAATGATTCTCATATTCTAAAGCCTTATGGCATTGTGGTGTTTAACTATGAGACTCCAGGCACTTTGAGTACAAACACTGACAAGAGAAATGCTGTGACTGCAACAGAAAACTTTCTGTGCTCTCCCAAATAGAAAGTGAACAGAGTCCAGTGGAACATAATATACAACATAATTTACTAACAAGAAGTTAGTGATACTAATTTAATTAGTCATCAGGAGCTTTTTATAGATTGTAAATCCCAGGGAGCTTGAGACCCAAATAAAGAAGTACAAAGAAAAAAGATGCTAGCCATTGAAGGAAAAGTAAAATATACTTGCCAAACTTACCCAAGGGGAAAGCCAAAATACAATAAATATTTTTGACGTGTACTGATTAGGTACAGGTTTACATTTTGGGTTGCTCAGAGAAAATGATATTTGAAAATGATGATCCAACCCCTTCTTCTTGCCTCACAAATAGAAAACATTATCTGACCTCCACTCCAAATCATCTATCTAAAAATGGCTTTTATCTTTGTCAATATGCCCTCAATGACTGAGAAAGTGCAGGACATTAAGCTGCCACCTTTTCTTGAGGCTCAGATCCTTTTAACATTGCATGACAGTCTTCGACCTTATCTCTAGGAAAATGTACTTACAGACACAATATTTTGCACACAATTTCAGGTGGTTTGCAGATTTCTAGAGTCCATCTACAAATCTGGGTAAAGAAATCTTGCCTAAGATAAGGACAGGAGCAGCCTTAAAAGACTGGGAAGAGATCCTATTAGTCTCTAGAAATCGGAGCTACAAATCCTTTGTTGGCCAAAAAAAGGTCAACTCTCACAAGCCAACAGAGGTCTCATCACCACACTTAGGAAGTTAATTGGTACCTAAATCCTCTTGGTTTGGGTTTGTTCTGGTGTTGCCTAAGGTTCGTAAAAACATTTTTAGGCTAAGTCTTGAGTTATCCAGGTCATGGGACTCAACCTAAAAAAGAAATTGGAGTGGTCTAATTCAACCTGACTCCATTTCTCTGGGTATTCCAGTAGCTATGTAGGGGTTTGCATGTGCTGCCATACCAGGCCTACTGGGGAAGTATGCAGTCCCCAAGGGTGTCGTGAAAGTCAATGTGGTTGTCTGACATTCAATGAAATACTGCTGGTTTTTCTAGAGCCCCAAAGTGCACTCCTCCTGAGATGCCTCAGAAATATCCCCCTGGGCTTCCCTGGTGGCACAGTGGTTAAGAGACCGCCTGCCGATGCAGGGGACACGGGTTTGTGCCCCGGTCCGGTAAGATCCCACATGCCGCGGATTGGCTAGGCCCGTGAGCCATGGCCGCTGGGCCTGCGCGTGCGGAGCCTGTGCTCTGCAACGGGAGAGGCCACAACAGTGAGAGGCCCGCGTACCGCAAAAAAAAAAAAAAAAAAAAGAAATATCCCCCTATATTTCACTTGGACTTCCATCCATATAACTAAATGAATATCAGCAAAGCCTTATATAAAATGTCCTTCCTCTACAAAAATCAGACAACACAAATACCTTCAGACAGTGAAAGGGAAATGCCAATGGCTCCCCACCTTGCCCCGCCTACACACTCTCACCTAGGGCTGAGGTGGCTACACTGCTGAGGTGGGCAGTTCCAAGTTAGGTGTGGCTCCCTCCAAAGGTCTCTAAAACCATATGACCAGGATATCTGTCCTGACCTAATCAACAGCCTGTCTCTAATATGTACAAATCATTTGTTGCAAACATGATGATTCAAAACTTTCAAAACATACTTGTTAACATCAAATATGTGTGGGAAATACAAGTGAAGTGGTAGGGGTTACTGAGAAAACATTAAAAAACTTTATTCCTAAGAAATTAACAAATATTTTTACCTTGATGGTTCACCCATCATTCTGCAACCTGGGATGAAAACAAATTAATTTTTCTCCTTCTACCCTCTTTACCTCCCAACTTAATCAAGTTGTATCAATTCTACCTTGCACATAATCCTCTATTTTTAGTCTCAAAGTCAGGATTCTAGATGGCCCATGGCAATCTCTTACATCTCTTTACTTTCATGCACTTATTACTAGTTTCACATACCGTACTTTAATTTGGAGTTACCTTTTAGTGAAACTATCCCTCCTAGCAGTCAGCTCTCCAACAGCAGAATTCTTTACGGATCTGTCCTGTTCCTATGTCTTAGGGCAGCGAGAGGAATTCAACAAATACTTGTTAACTAAATCAAAACCATTCTGAAAAAGAAGTAACCACTATGCACCTGCTACTGAAGTATCTGACAAACATTTATGGGCCATATGCAGCACGGCAGAATTAGCAGCCTGGCAGATTTTTTTTTTTTTTTTCTAAAATAAAAATGGAAAAGGCTCCTAGCTACAAGTTGACTCACTTCCCAATGGAACATTATATAAAACTCCCCTATTCTGTACTTTGGACCAATTCAGTACTAGATAAAACCTACTTCAATTTTTTTCCCCCTATCTTTAAGAACCTGGTCACATATGTACAGGTCCAATATCCATGTTTAAAAACCCAAGGTACCAACTTTTTCATACAAGTTAACAGCACCCTCCATACACACCACCCAACATGTGGTAGACAGACTGTCTTGCCTTAGTTTTTCACGGTACATTGGGGCTCCGACAGAAGTAATTCTTAAAATATTGTGGTTTTGAGTCAAGCATTGATTTTATCATCCAACTTCGTGGAATTGGCAGCTTGCAGTGTTAATATACTTCCTTACTTATCCTACATTTCCCCCAAATAATTCAGACATAAGGAACAGCCTCTTTGCTTATTATGTAATCATAACCTTAATATTTTAAATACATTGCATGGCACACTATGTCTGTACTAAGTTTCTCCTTCCCTGATAACCAATGCCCCCAAACCACTCCAAACACTAAAATATAAAGAATAGGGTTCCTAGGGGACTAACTTTGCCTGGACAGACTTTTCGTGGGGTGGAATGCACTGAAAAAGAATTTTTTTTTAGGGAAAATTTGGACACCCTTTTCCCAGAGGGCCCGCAAGATCTTAATGCAAGCGCCCGCGCAGAAACCAGGTCACCGCTCACAAAGAGACACCCAGCACGACCTCCGGCAGGGCCCGGCCAAGGAGCGTCCACTCTCGCAGCTGCCGGGCTCCGGCCAGACGGCTGGTCCCCACAGAGGCGCGGAGACCCAAACGAGGGATCTCGGTGGGACTCACACCTGCACAACCCACGGGTCCTCGCACGGCTCCACGCGTGTTCCGCTCCGCCCAGGACCGCTGCGCGCGCCCGGCCTTAGTCCCGCCGGGCGCGGCGGAGCGCTTTCCGGGCGACACCGGAGGGAGGAGCCTAGCCGTTGCTAAGGCCGTTGCTAGGGCCCGGCTCTGCGCGGGCCCTTCTGGCAAAGGTAACGGACGGGGAGGACCGCGGTACGGGGTTAGACGGAAAGTCCCGCCTCAGCGTCTCCGGTGGTCGGTGGTGTTGCCCTTTTCCGGAGAGACGGGATGGAAGACCAGGACCCCGCTCCGTGAGACTGACCCGGACCACTAAAGTGGGACGCGGTTCTCGAAACAAACTGTCAAGGTGCAGTTGCAGTGAGTTGTGAAAAATGCGGTTCCTACAGAACACTTCCCCATTTACCAATTCCCAAAATATTTTAGTCGTGAGAACTTTGTTCTATTACGTTTTTTTAAGGCTGTGTCAAGAGAAGTATTTCGTGTGCTGCATAGTAATGAAAGCTGTTAGGAAAATTATATCTTGATAATTTGGTTTGCTTTAAAACTACACACTCGTGTAGAGGTGGGACTGCTTTGTGCACTTTTCCAGTTTGAAATTAAGTATAATATGTGGATGGGTTATTAAACCATTTTTCCTTGCCCGACCTCAAAGAAAATCCAAATAGAAGGAATGCATGTTGACAATTGTGAGGTTTAGAAACACAGTGACCGGATATTGAGCAATGGATTTATTGAATACTCTGAATTTAGCAAGTGAGAGATAAAAGACAGAACCTTACCCTAGAGGACCTTACGTATCAAGTTAAGAGTGGGTAGTACAGAAAATACAATATGACTAATAAATTATAGGAATTTCAAAAGAGCTCAGAGTGGTCAATGAAGTTTTATTGGCTGAACTTGAGTAAAGCCTTGAAGAATGATTATGGCTTAGGGCAGTGTTATTCAAAGGGGTGGTGTGGTCCATCCGTTGGTGGAGGTCCCATTTGTAAGCAAGGAAATCTATTTAGTCACAACTACACTTTTTAAAAAATGAAATGGTCTAGTGTGGAAATATCAGTACATGGCACTTGGTAAAGTTACATTTTGCTTTATGGAGTTTTAAATTATGTATGTATGCATGTATGTGTGCATTAGGTCACGTTTATAAAATGGATTTCTCATTGTGTGTTTCTCTTAAAAAGTTTGAAAGCCACTGCTTTAGGGGGAAAGAAGAGTAGCAATAGCAAAGTCTCCAAGCCAATTATAAATAATTCACACCTTTATCTTTTTAAACTAATTTAGATCAAGCACACAGATTAAAAAGCAAATGATTCTGTTTATTAATCTGAGTGAGTATTGGGTTACTATTGCTATGTGATAAATTACTCCAAAATATGGTGGCTTAAAACAACCATTTTATTATGTTCATGAATTTTGTGTTCAGTAGAACATAGACGGACAGCGTTTTTTCTGATAACTCAGCTGTGAAGACTGAATGCTAGCAGAGCTCCTGTGTGTAGCCTCCCCATGTGGCCTGGGCTTCCCCACAGTATGGCAGTGGGGTAACCAAACTTCTTAGCCTAGGACCAGTGCTCCAAAGTCAAATGTTGCAATGAGCAAGGCAGAAACTACATGTTCTTTTCTAACCTAGTCCCCAAAAGTAACACAGCATTACTTCTCTCACATTCTTTTTATTATAAGTGAGTTTCAAGCCATGTCTAGATTTTAGGTGACGGGACATAGATGCCACTTCTCAAAAGATTGTCAAGGAATTTGTGGCTGTTTTTTAAAAAACCAACACACTGAATTTACAGCTGTCGCAGAAAACCCCAAAATTTCAGTGGTTTCATACAACAAATTGTTATTTCTCATGAGAAATCCATTGTGGCCATTACTAGTCAGATGAAATGTTAAACTTAAGAAAGTAGGTTTCTTTTTATTTTTAGTGGTTGTGCTATCTCCTACAAGTTGGAGCCACAGCTTACCTGTCAAGAAAGAAAGCACGGTGAATCACACAAAAATTTTAGAGGTCAGCCCTAAAAATGGCGTATGTCACTTTGCCCACATTTCATTGGCCAGAATTTAATCCAAGTTCCCCTCTAACTGCAAGGGAGCCTCAGAAATGTAGAGAAACATACAGGTATTGGTGAGCAGTAACAGTTTGCCACATTCTAAGTTTTTAACCAAAACCCTGTAGTCCCCAACCACTCCTCTTATCTCAATTCTTTTCTTCAAAGGAAAATTCTTTCAAGTATTTTAGGTACTTCTGTTATTTACTCCATATGTCAAAATATACTGCAATTTTTTGATTTTTCACTTTCTGAGAGAAGGCAGTGATAAAGATCTTTTATAACACCACGCCCAAGTGTGTGAACATTCCTTCTCTCCCTACCCCTACACACTCTTATCTCCTCATCTCTCAATACTGTAGTATCACAGTTTTTGTTTAAATTAACATTTGTAAATATTATTCAGGCGTGAGCCACATATGATCACATTAACATTTTTTTGGCAGTATCTTTTTTTTCTTTAACATATTTATTGGAGTATAATTGCTTTACAATGGTGTGTTAGTTTCTGCATTATAACACAGAGAATCAGCTATACATATACATATGTTCCCATATCTCCTGCCTCTCACGTCTCCTTCCCACTCTCCCAGTTCCACCCCTCTAGGTGGTCACAAAGCACCGACTGATCTCCCTGTGCTATGCGCCTGCTTCCCACTAGCTATCTGTTGTACATTTGGTAGTGTATATATGTCCATGACACTCTCTCACTTCATCCCAACTTCCCCTTCCCCCTCCCCATGTCCTCAAGTCCATTCCCTACATCCGCATCTTTATTCCTGTCCTGCCCCGAGGTTCTTCAGAACCATTTTTTTTTTTTTTTTAGATTCCATATATATGTGTTAGCACATAGTATTTGTTTTTCTCTTTCTAACTTACTTCACTCTGTATGACAGACACTAAGTTCATCCACCTCACTACAAATAATTCAATTTCATTTCTTTTTATGGCTGAGTAATATTCCATTGTATATATGTGCCACAGCTACTTTATCTATTCACCTGTCAATGGACACTTAGGTGGCTTCCATGTCCTGGCTATTGTAAATAGAACTTCAGTGAACAATGTGGTACATGACTCTTTTTCAATTATGGTTTTCTGAGGGTATATGCCCAGTAGTGGGATTGCTGAGTCGTATGGTAGTTCTATTTTTAGTTTTAAAAGGAACCTCATACTGTTCTCCATAGTGGCTGTATCAATTTACATTCCCACCAACAGTGCAAGAAGTTTCCCTTTTCTCCACACCCTCTGCAGCATTTATTGTTTGTAGATTTTTGATGATAGCCATTCTGACTGGTGTGAGGTGATACCTCATTTTAGTTTTGATTTTCATTTCTCTAATGATTAGTGATGTTGAGCATCCTTTCATGTGTTTGTTGGCAATCTGTATATCTTCTTTGGAGAAATGTCTATTTAGGTCTTCTGCCCATTTTTGGATTGGCTTTTTTGTTTTTTTGATATTGAGCTGCATGAGCTGCTTGTAAATTTTGGAGATTAATCCTTTGTCAGTTGCTTCATTTGCAAATATTTTCTCCCATTCTGAGGGTTGTCTTTTCGTCTTGTTTATGGTTTCCTTTGCCATGCAAAAGCTTTTAAGTTTCATCAGGTACCATTTGTTTATTTTTGTTTTTATTTCCATTTCTCTAGGAGGTGGGTCAAAAAGGATCTTGCTGTGATATATGTCATAGAGTTTTCTGCCTGTGTTTTAATCTAAGAGTTTTATAGTGTCTGGCCTTACATTTAGGTCTTTAATCCATTTTGAGTTTATTTTTGTGTGTGGTGTTAGAGAGTGTTCTAATTTCATTCTTTTACATGCAGCTGTCCAGTTTTCCCAGCACCACTTATTGAAGAGGCTGTCTTTTCTCCATTGTATATTCTTGCCTCCTTTATCAAAAATAAGGTGACTATATGTGCGTGGATTTAACTCTGGGCTTTCTATCCTATTCCATTGGTCTATATTTCTGTTTTTGTGCCAGTACCATACTGTCTTGATTACTGTAGCTTTGTAGTATAGTCTGAAGTCAGGGAGCCTGATTCCTCCAGCTCCGTTTTTCTTTCTCAGGATTGCTTTGGCTATTTGGGGTCGTTTGTGTTTCCATACAAATTGTGAATTTTTTGTTCTAGTTCTGTGAAAAATGCCAGTGGTAGTTTGATAGGGATTGCATTGAATCTGTAGATTGCTTTGGGTAGTATACTCATTTTCACAGTATTGATTCTTTCAATCCAAGAATCCAAGATTCTTTCAATCCAGTATTGATTCTTTCAATCCAAGTATACCTCTCCATCTGTTTGTATCATCTTTAAATTCTTTCATCAGTGTCTTATAGTTTTCTGCATACAAGTCTTTTGTCTCCTTAGGTCGGTTTATACCTAGGTATTTTATTCTTTTTGTTGCAACGGTAAATGAAAGTGTTTCCTTAATTTCTCTTTCAGATTTTTCATCATTAGTGTATAGGAATGCCAGAGATTCCTGTGCATTAATTTTGTATCCTGCTACTTTACCAAATTCATTGACTAGCCCTACTAGTCTTCTGGTAGCATCTTAGGATTCTCTATGTATAGTCTCATGTCATCTGCAAACAGTGACAGCTTTACTTCTTTTCCAATTTGGATTCCTTTTATTTCTTTTCTTCTCTGATTTCTGTAGCAAAAACTTCCAAAACTATGTTGAATAATACTGGTGAGAGAGGACAGCCTTGTCTTGTTCCTGATCTTAGAGGAAATGGCTTCAGTTTTTCACCACTGAGAATGATGTTGGCTGTGGGTTTGTCATATATGGCCTTTATCATGTTGAGCTAAGTTCCCTCTGTGCCTTCTTTCTGTAGGGTTTTTATCATAAATGGGTGTTTAATTTTATCAAAAGCGTTTTCTGCATCTATTGAGATGATCATATGGTTTTTCTTCTTCAGTTTGTTAATATGGAGTATCACATTGATTGATCTGCATATATTGAAGAATCCTTGCATTCCAGGGATAAACCCCACTTGATCATGGTGTATGATCCTTTTAATGTGCTGTTGGATTCTGTTTGCTAGTATTTTGTTGAGAACATTTGCATCTATGCTCATCAGTGATATTGGCCTGTAGTTTTCTTTTTTGGGGACATCTTTGTCTGGTTTTGGATTTGGGGTGACAGTGGCCTTGTCGAATGACTTTGGGAATGTTCCTCCCTCTGCTATATTTTGGAAGAGTCTGAGAAGGATAGGTGTTAGCTCTTCTCTAAATGATAGAATTCACCTGTGAAGCCATCTGATCCTGGGCTTTTGTTTATTGGAAGATTTTTAATCACAGTTTCAATTTCAGTTATTGTGATTGGTCTGTTTACATTTTCTATTTCTTCCTGGTCAGTCTCAGAAGGTTGTGCTTTTTTAAGGATTTGTCCACTTCTTCCAGGTTGTCCATTTTATTGGCATATAGTTGCTTGTAGTAATCTGTCATGATCCTTTGTATATCTGCAGTGTCAGTTGTTACTTCTCCTTTTTCATTTCTCATTCATTGCTTTGAGTCCTCTCTCTTTTTTCTTGATGAGTCTGGCTAATGGTTTATTAAGTTTGTTTATCTTCTTAAAGAATCAACTTTTAGTTTTATTGATCTTTGCTATTGTTTCCTTCATTTCTTTTTGATTTATTTCTGATCTGAACTTCATGATTTCTTTCCTTCTGCTAACTTTAGGCTTTTTTTGTTCTTCTATCTCTAATTGTTTTAGGTGTAAGGTTAGGTTGTTTATTTGAGATGTTTCTTGTTTCTTTAGATAGGATTGTATTGCTATAAACTTCCCTCTTAGAACTGCTTTTGCTGCATCCCATAGGTTTTGGGTCGTCGTGTTTTCACTGTCATTTGTTTCTAGGTATATTTTGATTTCCTCTTTGATTTCTTCAGTGATCTCTTGGTTATTTAGGAGCATGTTGTTCAGCCTCCATGTGTTTGTATTTTTTACAGATTTTTTCCTGTACTTGATACCTAGTCTCATAGTGTTGTGGTCAGAAAAGATACTTGATATGAGTTCAATATTTTTAAATTTACCAAGGCTTGAATTGTGACTCAAGATATGATCTATCCTGGAGAATGTTCCATGAGCACTTGAGAAGAAAGTGTATTCTGTTGTTTTTGGATGGAATGTCCTATAAATATCAATTAAGTCCATCTTGTTTAATGTATCATTTAAAGCTTCTGTTTCCTTATTTAGTTTCATTTTGGATGATTTGTCCACTGGTGAAAGTGGGGTGTTAAAGTCCCTTACTATGATTGTGTTACTGTCAATTTCCTCTTATATGGCTGTTAGCAGTTGCCTTATGTATTGAGGTGCTACTATGTTGAGTGCATAAATATTTACAATTGTTATATCTTCTTCTTGGATTGATCCCTTGATCATTATGTAATGTCCTTCTTTGTCTCTGTAATAGTCGTTATTTTAAAGTCTATTTTTTCTGATATGAGAATTTCTACTCCAGCTTTCTTTTGATTTCATTTGCATGGGAATATCTTTTTCCATCCCCTCATTTTCAGTCTGTATGTGTCCCTAGGTCTGAAGTGCATCTCTTATAAACTGCATATATACGAGTCTTGTTTTTGTATCCATTCAGCCAGTTTATGTCTTTTGGTTGGAGCATTTAATCCATTTACATTTAAGGTAGTTATCGATATGTATGTTTCTATTACCATTTTCTTAATTGTTTTGGGTTTGTTATGTAGGTCTTTTCCTTCTCTTGTGTTTTCTGCCTAGAGAAGTTCCTTTAGCATTTGTTGTAAAGCTGGTTTGGTAGTGCTGAATTCTCTTAGTTTTTACTTGTCTATAAAGGTTTTAATTTCTCTGTTGAATCTGAATGAGATCCTTGCTTGGTAGAGTAATCTTGGTTGTAGGTTTTCCCCTTTCATCACTTTAAATATGTCCTGCCACTCCCTTCTGGCTTGCAGAGTTTCTGCTGAAAGATCATCTGTTAACCTTATGGGGATTCCCTTGTATGTTATTTGTTCCACT